GGGGGGGTGCAGTGTTGCGGTGTGGAGACAGACAGTCCCCTGAAACTGGAACTGTTAAACCGGGACTCTTTCATTGCTCAGTTCAAGCTGAAACATTGGGCTCCTAATCCTTCAGATTCTCTGAAAATGGCACTCTCTCATCCAACTTGTACTTATACAGCATCTTTAACAGACAGAATTATTAAATGGAGTATCACTGTGCTGTATAAGAGGAGATATTAGGTCAAATAACCAAAAAAAAGGAGGGATAGGCTTCAAGGAGTGTCTTTAAAAGGAGGAATGAGAGCTTGTGAAGTTGAAGGAGGAGAGCGAGTCCCAGATGTTTGGTCACCAATAGTGGGAAATTAAATAAAGGAATGCTAAAGAGATCAGAATTAAATGAGCAAAGATATTATTGCAGAGCTACAGGAATATATAGAAATAGGGAGCAAGGTCATGAGGGGTTCGAAAACAAAGGATGAGAATTTTAACATCAAGGTTTGGTTGACACAAACCGATGTAGATCAGTGTTAAATTTTTAAAAAAATGAGTGGGGGCATTTGCAATGTTGGAGGACTGTAGCCAGGTGTGCAGTTGAAAAGTCAAGAATAAAATAGGCATGAATCAATCCACAAAATGAATTTATGTTTGATCTTGGTATACTGCTTCAATGATTAACAAATTATTTTCTAACACTGAACCACGACAGTACTCAAGTTAGCCTTTTCTTTGTAGGACAAAGATATACATTCCTGGTGACTTCGAAGCAGTACATCTGTATGAATACAATGACCTAAAATCTTCCAAACAGTGACAAAGACAACAGGATTACAGCGGGATTATACTCAAAATACTGATTTAATTTTACCTTTTCCAGAGTCCTCAGACTTCCTTTTTTTCCCTAAACAGAAGATGCACAACACTGCATCCCTTGGAACCACATCAGAACAGAGTAGAATCAGGGGAAAGACATGCCACTCCCTTATTTGGCCCAAGTTTCTGTATGGCAGATTTACGCATCCAGTCTTTGAATACCAATGGTGTGGGTGAATCAGCGGGTGGAGAGGTAGTCCAGTCTGGAGAAGGACCAAGACTGACAAAAGTATTTAAAATCTCCCGGGAGACCACAAAAATAAGTTCCATGAAACCATCCAACATTTCCAATTCTAGCTCAGAGTTGGAGACATTCAGAGATTTCCAGGGAATAGGGAAGCTGCCCATCAATTTAAACTTCCCAAAAATTCCCATGCAAGTCTGCATATCAGGACTTCTGCAGGCTTCTGACATGCACCTTCAGTCATTTGGGTCAATCTTTATTCAGTCACACACACTGAACATTGTTACATATGCAATATTCTTCAGTTTTAAATAGTATTGGATTGAAAGAACTAGCTGCAGTATGGTTCAAATGAACAACCTTTGAGGAAGAGAGTGCAAATAGGGAAATGATCAATGCTGGGCCTACTGTAAAAAAGGTCACAGACACCAAGGGGAGACTTGGACTGGAAGAAGTTGAAGACAAGTGTCATTATCCAAGACCAGTTAGTTACTTAATTACCAAGTTAATCAAATAGACAGCAGTGCTACACAATCTTTGCCAATGCTGCAGTTGATGACATCCAGGAAAGTTTTTTTTTAAAAATTAGAACAAATTGTTTATTGAATTTATTTCCTTAAAAACAAACAAACAGTCTAATGGTTGTTACATTAAATAGTCTCCTCTGGAAGTTGAGGGTAGCTAGTGGGCCTACGAGTGACATGGAGGTCTGCACTATTGGCAGACATGGAAGTAGAAACTGCTGCACCATGATACAAATTGGTTACAAACAAAAGGTGGTGGCAGCTCAGCTCCTGACACAACCATCACCAACCCTCTTTCAGATCAGATAAATGAGTAAGAAAATGAAACCAGAAATTTTCAGGACCGATGGGCTAAATTGACTAAATGATCTCAAATCTTTAACTTGTGATGTCTGTTGCTTTTTTCTGAATATTTAGGGGCATTAATATTATAATAGACTTGGATCAGTACCGCAGGACCAGATGAAGTTTATAACATGGACTAGAAAAGTTGTACCAAGGCAATTAGGACCTGAAAAGGGTCAACTGACATGATACATCTCTCATCCATGAGCTTATATTGTACTGTTCCTGGGATGAGCTAACCAGTCTTCAGTGTGCTACCAAAGTGTTAAGTGTTATGTAGTTGTTCAACATATGCACTAGAGAATATAATATTAATAATTTGTATTTAATCTCAAATTTAACCAGGTCAAGAGAGCCACTTATATGAAATAAGCATAATTAGCTATTGACAACCATTCAACTAAGGCAGAGCCTAACTTATGCTCAAACTGTTGGCATCCATCCCAACGAAAAAACTTGTTCTAACGCCCACGAGGATTGGTGGCAGTGTATACACTCAAGATATCCTAGTTGGTTCCAGTAGAAATAGATAAAATAAAGATGTATTGCTTTGCTCCATAAGTCAAGTGTGTAACACTTTCCCACCATGGTCACATCAATTCCAGAATAGTCACTTTAGTTTCAATAATTATAGACCAACCACTTCTTCATGCAATTATTTATTTGAGTAGCAAATCAAGGAAATGTCACATGTACATAGATCAATCCAATGGTATTGCATTTTACCACCCCACCCCTGCCAAACAAGCTGCTCATTAATTCTGTACAATGTCATTTTGCACAGCATAACAAGTCGGTAGCAATTCAAAAACTGACCTAAAAATTCATCACAGCTATACTAACTGCCATAAACTTTTATCATATTTCAATTTCTGAAGGGTACTCTCTCAATGAGATGCTTTACGTTCATTGGAAGAAAAACAAAATTACAAAAACAAACAAACAAACCTACACTTCAGGTTCCAGCAAACTATGCTGCTAATCACCCACACAAAAAAAGGACAATTAAACCTTAGCTCTCAAGTGACTCAGGCTCAAGTCCAAATGGGTTAGTTCCAGTATAAAATTAGTGCCTTAGAACTATTTTCCCTCTTCCAATGCTATTATGAAAACCTTTAGTGCCATCTGGGCCAAAGGGAAGTCGGACTAATCCAGGAGGAAGGCTTGAACCACTTTGATGCTTCCTTACTGACTGCTTACATGTTTGGCTGATTTCTAGAGGAGCAGCCTGACTGGCAGCCAGCTTACGCCTTTGCACCCAGGGACTTCCAGAACACTTTGCGTTATCTGACCAATGGTCATGAAATTTCTTGTTAAACTCTGGACTTGTACCTGAGCTGGGCCAAGATCCTGGTCCAAAAAAATCTGTTTTGGGTGATGGATGGTGATAAACTAGGCTTTTGCAGGGAGTGCATGGACCACAATGATAGTCAATACATGATGGAATACACGGAACTGTGCTTAGACTTGACATTTGACTAACACAATTATAGGCACCACATATTTTATGCTGCAGGTATCTTTGGACAGAAACAGGTGAATTAGCACCATCAGATTCTGAAGAACTATAAATAGACTCTTCCATAGTATATTGCATCTGCTCCATCTTTGTGAGCCCTCCTGAAGGCTTTTTGGGGGTTGATTTCTTTAAATCCTCAGATTCATCTGTGTCAATGCAACGTATTTTTTTAGTACCTTTTCCTGTCAGTATGACAACTTTTAGATTTTCACCATCATGACAGCGTTTTTTTCCAAGTTCTTCATAAGCATTTTTGGCACCTTCATAACATTCATATTCAATCAAAACACAAACTTTGGTTCCAACTTCTGGATACTTCAATGTATACTTTTTCAGTTCAGCAGGAACTTCCTTACCTGGTTGCAAAATGCGAATTGAACTGATTGGACCATGAATAGCAAAGATCTTCATTGCTGTTTCCATGACGTTTACATGGCCACATATTTCATTATTCTTCTCTGGAAAGTACTTATTAAGATTCCATGCCAATATACGTTTACTTGGTGGTATTGCAAGGAGGGAATCTGGTACTGGGATTTTTCGGCGAATTTTTGTCCCTTCTGGATTGATTTCTAGTAATTTGGAATAATTCAGTGCATAAGCTGTTACCTTCCAGTCCTTAGTCAAGCATTTCACCTAGAAGTCAAGCAAATACACAGTAATTGCAAATTGTAAATTAGTATGAAGATTGAGTTAATTTGACTGTATTTTAAAAGTAACACTTTTGAATTTAAAGAAGTTCGGTAATAGTGCATAGGTTAAATGAGAATGGCAAAATTCACTAACTGCAAATGATCTTTAAAAAAGATTGCTAATTTTTAGTTGACAAATGTGAAAAACCTACTTTTTAAAAAGATTTTGTATAGCAAAGTGTAAACATCTTACAATTTCAAATGATTGCAATAAGAACTCAATTCCTATATTACAACAATCCTGTTGCCACAGAGTATCATATAAATTTTCTTGTTGCAGTATTCATATTATGTATCCCGTTTTCAGCATCATCTGGCTTCTCCGTGGACCTGAACATCTTTTTCCCTTGAATCAACAGATTAATTTGATAACTAATACTGGTCAAGCAATAGAAGTCACCAGGAAGATATTGAAAAATGTGCAAGTAAAACAACATTGAAATAAAAACAGAAGGGGAGCTGGAATTAGACTCAGGATAAACATGGAAAAGAAAATAACTTCTGTTTATATAGTAGCTAACAGCAAAACATTCCAAGGTAATTCTCAAGAATTTATGAAACAATACAACTCAATAACCACAAGTTTCCAAAGAAAAGTCAGTTCCAGTCCAACAGGACTCTTCTTTGGAACTTGTCATTGTTGAATTATTTTGTTTAAATTCTTTTCTGTTTCTCTCTCCACAGAATGTCACCAGATTTGCTGAGGTTCTCTTTCATTTGTAATTAATTTTACATACATGATCTGTTGGGCAAGTGGCCAATGTACAGATGTGTTTTAAACAGGTATCTCAAGAGGCCAAAAGGTATGAAACTTGACAGCTTGGGGCATAGGTTAGGGGCTTATGGTAACAACTAAGAAATCACTAGAGAGAGTAGTTTAAAGGCCCTTTAACACAGTGACCACACTGTTGGACAGGGCAAGTTCTAATAGGAACGCAGAAGCAGAAATAGGCAATTCAATGATATTATGGCTGATCCATCCACTTCAATTCAGTCCCCCAATAATACCCCCATATTTTTTCATTGTTTGTTTGATTTATAAACTAAAACATATTCAAAACTGAGATTCCACAGCCCATGTCATAGCAAATTCCAAAGATCCAGGGCCTGCAAGTAATTAAAAATGCTCATCTCAGTCCTAAGTAGTTTCCCTCTATATGCCCAAAGGAAACTTTATAATATTGGCAAGCAGAGTAGATGCAGGTAAGTATTTTGTCAAGTTTTTTTGTTTTAGTGGGTTGAGAGCTACCCTGCCAACTTTCCAAGCTGCCTGTCCTTCCTGACAAATGCAGACCTTTGGACATTCAGAATATCTCAGATTTGGTTTGCTTTTACAGACTTGCAGACAGCTGTTACAACATAGACATTCCTATTTGAGCGGAGAGTTCACCTATTTCATAGGGAGAAAACGCTGTGGGAATTCAATAGAGCCCTTAATTCAGTTCAATTCCGAAAAATAAACTAAAATTGATAAACTCTGGCTTCAGTTATGGACATACTTTTAAGTTTGTAATCATTGTCCCTTCCTGCCATTCTCCAATTATTAACCTTATTGTCATCTTCATTTTTTTGTATTAAATGTACTCAACTTTCCCCTTCCAAATGATTCCTTTGCCCAATTCTTCAGTGCAAAGACCTCCACATTTCATTATACAGCTCAAAAGACCAGTACTAGTATGATGCAGATGACGTCCATCCCTGCAGCAGCACCCCATCCTAGCACTAATGCTCGAGTCCCATGAATTGGAACCCACCTCCCCACCACACCAGACTTTGAGCCAGGCATTCATCTCTAATCATATTTATCCCATGCCAGTTTGTACATTGTTAGAAAAAGCATGTACATATTACCAAATTCTGATGTTCTGCTTTTCGATTTAGTTCAAGTTATTCATACTGTGAGAACTTTAGTAGGAAGATTAGAGGCATAAGCTATTTTATAACAGGGGAAGGCTTTGGAAATCTGAAACACAAAAGGGGGTCCTGGTTCAGGATTCTCTTCAGGTTAATGTGGGGACTCACTTGGCAGTTAGTAAGGCCTTGTGAAAAAAAACCATTGTCATTCATATTATCTATGCCCCTCATGATTTTATAAGCCTCAAAGTCACCTCAACCTCGTACACTCCAGGGAAAAAAAGTCCCAGCATTTCCAGTCTATACTTATATCTCAAACTTTCCATTCCTGACAACTTCCTGGTAAATCTTTTCTAAAACCTCTCCAATTTAATAATACCCTACCAGTAATAGAGTGACCAGAACTGGACACAATACTCCAGAAGAGGCCTCACCAATGTCCTATATAGCCTCAACATGATATCTAACTCCTATGTTCGAAAGACAGTAGTGTTAAACAATTATAGTTATGAAGGAATGGCCACACAAATATTATTTGAACTAGACTATAAAGTTTGCAGGTCCTGATAGACATCATCTTTAAAATAAATTGCTGCTGAAATGGAAAACACATGGAAAGTACAACCCAAGACTATGGAAATGTCCCATCAGAATACAATTGCTTCACGTAACTCATCTACTCAAGAAAAGAAACCACAAAACCATTAGCCAGTTTACTCAACAATTGTCATGGGAAAAATGTGAAAAATCTATTCCGGAACTTATAGCAGGATATTTAGAAAATCACAATGCAATCAGGTATAGTCAACTTGGCGTTCTATAGGAAAAGAAAAACCTAACATCTTTGGGTTAAAAAGCAACGCTGATAAGGTGGAAATTGTAGTTCTGTTGTACTAGTATTTTCAGAAGGCATTTGATGAGGTGCCACATTAAAAAGTTGCTGAACAAAACGAGCTCATTGGGTAGTGGATAACAATCAAAGTGAGTAGAGAATTGGTTAGGAGGCAAAGAGTATGAATAAGCCTTTAAGGTTGGCAATAAGCAACAAGTGGAGTGTTACAGGGATCAGTTCTGAGGCCTTCAACTATTTCTAATCAGTGATTTGGATGATGGGACTGAAAATGTAGTTATAGGATTTGCTAATGGCACAAAAGGCAAAGGAAGGTAGGTTGTGAAGAGGACACAAGGCACCTGCTAAGTGAATTGGTAAAATTTGTAGATCAAATATAATATGGGACATTGCAACATGTTAATTTTGGCTGCAAGAAAGAGAAGCAGAATATTATTTAAACGGAGAGAGATTGCAAAATAAGAAACCCGTTGCAGAGGGATCTAGGTGTCCTAGTACACAACCACAATAAAAAAGGTAGTATGCAGGCATAAAAAGTGATTAAATAATGATGATGATGATGATGTTCCATTTGCTTCTCTAAAGCAAGGAGAATGGAATGTAGAAAGAGAGAGGTTTTATAACAGTTACAGCGTAATGGTGGGACCACATTTGGAATACTGTGTACAGTACTGGTCACCTTATTTAAAAAGGTGATAATTGCATCAGAAACAATTCAGAAAAAAACAATTGATTGATTAATAGAATGAGTTCCTTAAGACAGACAGACAGATTGGAGGTGCTTCAAAGAATATAACTATAGCTAACAAGTTTAACAAGAGGCCAAAGGCAGCAGAGAAAGGCCATTAAAGTGGATGCACTAGGCTATAATTGACAAGGAAATAATAAACTGAGAAAAATATAGTTTGTAACCAATTTCACAGCAAAGAAAGGGGCCAAAGTAAGTGATACAAAGAAACCTTAAAAAAAATCAAAGGGCAAAACCTCTTCAATGAAGTTGACGAATCACGATAAACACCTTCATTGATAAATACTAAATTGTAGATGTGATGATTAGGAGGCACGGTTAACATGTGTCATCATCTAAATAATTTAAGCAAGTCAGGAAATGGAGACATTCACTTTGGATCTAGATACGAAGAGAAAACTTGCTAGGTCTCAGAGAGAATGCCTCCTCCCACCCCTGACCATGATACTCTCTCAAGACGACACTCAGGCTGAATCTTGGGATGGGTTCTCTGTGAGACCTAGCAAGTGCTCTCACACCATCACCTCCATTAACTATCTACCCTATGGCATTCCCCTCATCTGATGCTAGCCTGATTCTACCATGTGCATAACTGGAAGAACTTGCTACTGCCCAGGTATGCCAAAATAGACCAGGAACCCTGGTGCTGCCGCCATTTTGGAATCACAACAGTGCACCCAGTTAAGTGTTGGCAGCCCAGAGAGTTGCCCTTCACCAACAAATCTAAAAAATGTCACAGTAATCATAACTCAGCACTTTACATAGCATAGGAAGCAAAACAGATAGTTCCTTGCACATAACTGCACATTCTGGTCCCAACATTATATCCCCTCCTCAACCATTATGAAAGTGATCATGTCCCTTTCTATTTACCACATTAGACAATCCATCTCAACCAAGCCCCTACAGTTGCCTATGCATCACCTTAAAGTGAGATTTCCACTATCCTCCTTACCCAGAGCCCCATCACTACAGCTTCCGATGCCCACCATGGCACTTCAATTGCCCACAATCCCCATCCCTTCAAAATTAAGATGGTGAAGGTGAGTGTCCATCACTACCTTCTACCCTTTCTCCACAGTATGCCATCTCGCACCACACCACACGATACATTATCATTATCCCTTCCATATCCCAGGCTATTGTGAGCATTCAGATAGGCAGGAAGTGAAAACAAGCAAGCAGCCCCGAGATGCAGCCTGGTCAAAAACTTGTGCTGCAACTTCCAGCAGCATTCCAATGTTAGCTGCCAGACCTTTCCAAAACATAGCTTTAGTGCAGAAGTATATTCTAAGTGGACCAGGGATGCATCAATGATATGGAGGCTGGCAAATAGATACCCACAAATATCAAGTGGTTTTATTTGAAACACAGCTATGAGAAATTTATGACTGCATATTGTGGAATCTTTCAGAAGCAAAAAAAAAAAACTGCATTCTAGGCCAGGAAGAATCTATGCATTAACAGCTCCCAATAGCCAACAGAAACCTTT